GTAAACAATCGTTTCTTCTTTATTATTATCATTGGATTTAATCGACTTTCATAATGTAATAAAAATTCATCGAAAAACTTTTTTAAAAAAAACTTCAATAAACATTCAATTTTAAATGTTTGTTTTCAATTATCGAAGTTTTGCTATTCAATTCGCATGGAAATTTTTGATTTAAATTCTCAAGTGAGCATAAAAAATTTTATTGATTCAATTATTGAGTACACAGAACTAATAAACACTCGTGGTTTAAATTATTTTTTGGGAATTTCAAGTATCATCCTAACGTCAATGACTTAATGCGTTTTAATATTCATAACAAAACTTTTCAAATTACTTCAAATACTCCAACTTAATTGGATATTAACAGTTCATGCAAAAGTATTAACAAAATGCAATTTAACATGCCATACATTTTATTGATACTTAACTGACATAGTGCTGCACATAGAAGTTCATTTCATATCCAAATCATGAATATAATAAAGTTTTTTAAGGGCACACAGCATGCAGCAAATTAAGTTTTGATGTTCTTTTGTGTAATGGTCGCCTTAGACTTCATTTCTTATTCTTTTTATTAATTTTATGCAGAAAAATGGCATATGAGAATGAATTTGAGTCCCTTGGGGGACATGGTTATAGATATTGACATTTTCAATGTATTTTTCACTAGCTTTTACTAATGGATCTGCTTGGTTTTGTTAAATAATGAAAGGTTCAAAAATTGGACGTACTATGACTCTTATATCTAGAAACGTAACTTTAAGATTTGAAACCAAAATTTTAAGCCGATCCATCCTGGCTAAGGTCATACAAATGAGTCCCTAATTAAGTCCCTGGCTTGTGCCAATTTCAAAATTGTCGAAAGTTCTTGAATTGATATTCAAAACAAAAGCAACTTCAAACCTGCATCCCTAATAATCTATCCTCATTTCCCCAAGGATATCGCCCACATAAAACTGTTTATCTACATTTTTATATCCACACATTCCCACAGCAAATTCTCAATTATTTCAAAAAACTGCAAATTCAGTGAATTGCGGTCAATAAATTTATTTTCATTTCACTTGCTGACTGACTGATTGTAAGGCTAAATCCATATGAGCTAGCAACCATGTCTTTGCATTTAGTAAATGTCTCATTGGAATGCAGTGCATAAATATTTTCATCTCGTCGTACACACAACGTACAACATAAAGTATTGAGTGCTCGCATGGAATTACAAGAAAGAAGGAGGGAAAAAAACAGCATAAAATGAAAAATTGGAACTGAAATGCGTATAGTACATAGTTCCATTATGTAACAATTTATTTTCTTCTCTTTTGCTATATCTCTCTTCAAAGCTACTGCATGAATTATTACTCAATCACTGATGTGTATTTTTTTGAGTTAATGCCTTCGACATGACTGTTTTACTACTCACCAAGTCCAAATTAATTACATACACACCAGATTTTTAAATGATATCGATGAAGTAATCGACGTTAATTAATATATGACTTTCCTAAACATTTCTACTTGATAATTGACTTTACAGGTTTCAAAAAAAGATTTCACTTTTCACTGAATATTCAAAAGAAATTTCTTCAAAGACCTTTTGGAGTCACCACGAATTCATACATAGTCCATAACAACAGTGATTTTAATTTTTTCATTCAATCACGCTTCATATTAAGCAATTTGTTGTTGTATTTCATTAAATGATCATTTGATTGACAAAATCGGAACGAATTGAAACCTGTTAGATGCCCATTGGCATTTAAAATTTTTTTATTATTTTTTTCGCATTTCATTTGGCAATTAATTTCCATAAATTCTTTATCGAATGCGAGCAGTGTTGGAATTTGATTTTTAGAAGAGATTTTGAGTTGAGAGAATTATTGGAGCTGATTTCAGGAAAAATGACATGAAAATTACTGCATTAAAAAAATGAAAAATGTATCTCTAAAGTTAATATCCCCTCCTGTTCTCCTCTGCCTAAGCTATCCATTGGTTTGGTGACATTTTAGACTAATTTTGTTATAACCTTAACTTCAATCCATTGAGTGTACCCTGATATTTTCCGAAATAGCAAGAAATCTCAACAAATTCCTTTACTAATACCTAATATCACCTGCATCAACAAAACTGATAGATCAAGTAACAATTTCCATTATTATTAACTGATTTTTAATTAATTCACGCCATAAAAAATATAAATCGTATGAATGTCGATGCTGTTAAGATAAGGTTACATGATTTAGATCTTAATGATAAATTACTAATCATGGACAGTTGAGTTGAGTTGTTTGAAATGAAATTGTCAAGGTTCTCAGCTGTTAGCTACTATGTTGACCGAATGACTTGCTCAATTCTCGTGTCTTTTAAGTGATGACATGACAAAGTGTTATTTTATGTTCTGATATATAAAAAAAGAACTTTTCTGTAATAGTGAGAATCTAGTTGAGAAATAATGGAGAGTCATCTGATTTTAATTTAGAAAGTAAAGCTTCCAGAAAATTTGAAAGTTTTAAGCTATAAATTCAGGCGAAATCTCCATGATACTGTAAATGATAATGAAACTAAAATTAAAATCAACTTTTTTTATGTCTGTGTGTCCTCCTTAATCTCAAAGACAACAATTTAGAAGTATGGAATGGACCGAGACAGAGACAGAAACATAGAAATGTGAAATGTATGTGTGTAATGAATGGAAAATCAAGTCACAATAAATTTCAAATATTTATATGCTTTTAAGCAAGTTGGACAGTTTGTGTTAGCTCTACGTGCCATGCATAGGAGAGCAGGTTATTCAAATTAGATAAATGAACATTTTGGATTATACGTATGCTCATGCATATATGCCAAGTGTACAAAGAAAAAAATAATAGAGTTTGTGATGAAGTGAACTTGAATCTAATCTCTGGATCCATAAATATAACTTTTTAATAACATCCCATGCAAAAAAAAATTTGCTATTATTTTTTGTGATCAAACATGATCTAAAAATTTCAATTACAAAAAGTTTCCATCTCATACTGTGTCAAAAATTCCTATGTAAAGATTCTCATGAAAAGATTATTGAACGAGTCAGGTTTAGAGAAAATTGAAGGTATCAAGTACAATCCATGATTATATACCGAAGCCCATAACGTAGATAAACTGATAAGAAACCTTAGAAAAGTTGTGCATTCTCTCCTGAGATTGCATGACGTACTATAATCTTCCAAATACCTTCTCATGTACCTCACATAAAAGATAGATTATACAATATCCTCAGCTTTTCATCATCATCATCATGTCATCTATTGAATCTATAAGAATGTGTGTATACTTTTGTGTAAAGGATGCTCATGTTAGAGAAACTTTAATTAATGATCATTCACCTATCAAAATGAAATTCGATGATGTGATTTAAAAATATTTACGTATTTGAGATTGAATTTTTGTCAAGGCTGAGGCACTATGATAGATTCTATTACTGGTTGTGTCATGTATGACACATGATCATCTTGTAACGATTTAGAGTTATCATTTAAGCGTTCCAACACCTTGACACAAATCCACATAAAATAAGATAGTACAATTTTGAAGCGAATTTTAGCATCAAGCAATCAGCCATGTACCTTACTAGTAGTTGGTTTTAAACGTACAGTCGCAGATGACCAATCTCAGCAAAACTAAAGTCTCGAGCCAGATTCCCCTAATTTAATACCAAAAATCCCAACAGCATTGAATTATTCATCTCAATCTCAATAATAACAATTTCACCTACAGCAGTAATCCAATATTTTATTATCTTATCAATCCTTAAATAAATTTTCATCTTCATACTCATCGACTTCTTACATTTCCCATAAAAAGCAATTCTATTCAAAAATAGACACAAAGCTTAATCGTATCATCTTTCAAATTATAAAGAGAGTCCAAATCTAGTCTTCGATATCAGCAACAAATCTGAATTAACTCCACAATTTTCATGCTGTATAAATCTTAAATTTATTCTATAGACATCATCAGCATCTATATAGCGGGATTTTTTTTTATATCTTATTCATCGTCTTTTTATAAAAAGTTTTGTCAACTTGAAAATAACACTTAATGAGAATAGTAAGCAGTTGTTTTGTGAATGTATACGTGTGTAAATGCTTATAAATTTGCATAAAACATTTTCAATTTTGCTTCTTCACTAATGGCTGTGAGATAATGAATAAGTTTTTGACTTAATGATGAAAAAGTGTGTTCGTGTCGTGTTGTCTTTTAGCTGTATATAATTTCTCGTGACCTTGAAAGTACTCTTTTTTTTAAAGTTCATCTTGATTATGAGATGAGAAAAAGACGTTTTGAAGATAAACATATAAATTGTAATCATTTTTCATGACTTAACTACTTGTCTTTTTAACATACATTTCCCCTTGGATAATATGCTTTAATATTCACTTTGACTTGCTCATTAGATGGGGAAGTTGATGCGTGAGATTTTACTAATTATAGTGTTTAGCTTTGCAAGACTTAAGCGGCTTAGCTTTTGCCATTTTTTCTATGCTTAAATCTTTCTCATTATGGCTTAATTTGCTGTAAGATTTAAGATTAATTGAGAAAAAGATTTGAAATGAAGTAATTTCGCCATTTTTGGACTGGATTAAGATTTTAAATTTCAAAAATCCGTTAAATTTAAAATTTATCACTTAATTCAATATTTCCTCTATAATATTGAAATTCACCCTTTAAAATTGCTGTTGTGAATCTGCGCTTCCTTTTATCTGATAAAATAATGATGCGATGACTGTTTTACAAGCGTACTCGGCACAACAATGCTCTTTAAAATTATTCATTGTTGACACACGATGTTATCATCATGACGACATAATTTATATCATGAAGAATTTTACATGGCAAAAAAAGGTTTTCAATTGATGATGGCGATTTATTTTCAAGACAAAAGCTTTGTATGTGTGTTTTCAATGACTTTATGAATATATTAATGGGTTTATAAGGCAAATAAAATAATAAAAAGCACTCACCTTTAGGCATTCCGCATGGTTCTGGTGTCCTCGAGTTATCGAGAAAATCCAAATCATATTTTCGTGCTGGTGGAAAGGTTAAAGCTACATGTCCATTTATTTTATATTGCATACAGCATAATGTCACCAGAAACAATAAAATTTGTACCCGGCTCGCCATTTCTCTATATCTATTATATCCTTTTCTATATAAATTGATTTCAATTCTTTTATTTTTTATATTTTTAATCCTATGCTGATCGTTTTCAGATACAAAAATGTGCAATTAAATTTATTCAATTGAATTCATTTGATCGTCTTGTATTACGTACAACATGAATATGAATGAATTGAAATCGAGATAGGAAATTGCACTTAATTTTCACTTCTCTTTTTTTTATCCATATATTTCACACTCTTTTTTCAATATCAATAATACGAAACGAAATAAAATAGAAAATGAATTTATTGCTTTCGATTATATTTTATTATTAATTGGCTTTGTGTCCATTATTCACAATTCTTCTCCTTTCATTTCACTTGCCTTTTTTTTTATTCTCTTACATATGCACGTACGTATGAATTCATTCATGTATTATATGGATTATTGTGGTGTTTCATTTCATTATTATTTTTTTTTCATTTACGGAAATAACTTTATTGTGAGTATCGGTTCACAAATTAACACACTCGTTAAAATTAAAATGACACAAAAGAAAGAAAAAAAATGCTGAATTTAAATTTTAATTATTTTTTAAACTCTGCATGCATAAAGCGAAAGTTGTTTTAACTAAGTTGCGTTAATTGGATCACTTGTTCACTTGATTTATTATTATCCTGACTTTAAGTCTACCCTTTTATTAAAAAAAATTCCTGTCATATGCATGCACGATTGACTGTTAATGCACAGAACAAAATGGTTTATCTGTAAAGAAATAAAAAAGAAAGAAAAATCATTAATTACTGGTACATTAAGTGTCATGCCCTAAATTTAACTATTAAATGCACCTTTGTCAAGTTCGAGTTTTCAAGATTCCAGAAAAAAAATTGAATGAAATAGTTGTCGACAATAATAATTTCCAATGTATATTGCGCGCGAAAAATAAGTAAAGTAAACACATAGATTGGTCTTATTAAAGCTATGTGAAACACCCATTATTCTCCGACTAAGACCTTTGTATTCTTATGGCTTTTTTTTCTCTCACTCCAAACTTCACACAAGAAAAAAATAAATAAATTTAAAGTTGCGCTTTTTTCTTCTAAATTACAATGATTTTTCGAGTTCAAGTTGAGTTTCTTTACGTTTTCATGAGTAAACAATGGTTTTGTTAGTTTCGCGGCAAACAAAAGGCAACAGACAAATTGTATGACTGCACAACATTAATGCCTTTGTATAACATTTCTTGCACTATTTGACACTATTTTGTCATTTGTTTTTTTTTTCGCTAAATATTTGTTTGTATCTTGAAATTGATTTTTTTTTTGCAAGGCGTGAAAGCGGGTTTGGTTTTTAAATTTATGCTATTTTGAAGGTGATATGGAGATTGAACATTGAATTGATGAGATGATTTATGACCGAAGAATTGAATCTTCCTCTACGACCATCTGCTAAAAGTGCACATTACATCTTCAAAAAATCATTCTGGTTCCAAATTCCATCCCAATCCCAATGTCAAAAACTCATTCATGTCATTTTAGTCCCAAAATATTCTAAACATTCATAAAAATTTCATCATGCTTTCAAATAATAAGAAACCCTCAAATCCTACTTTTAAAATATTAATGTTTATTCTTCTCCCAATAATAATAAAAATATTTTTAAATTCTTAATATTCTCGTGCCAGAAACAAAAATTACGTAAGAAGATTTTTATGAATATAAAAAAAATTAGAAAACATCTTTTTTTTGCGCTAATCGCATCATTAACAGCGGCATCATCGGAAAGGAAATATCTGGATAGTGAGAGGAACATGCTTAATTATTGTATTATCGTTTATACGATTATGAGTATAGAGATGAAGTTATTGAGTCAATGGTAAATGTGTACGTTGATTATCTAACGCCTAACTTCAGAACGAAGAAGGTTTGGCAAAGATGAAGAAAAAAAATAGAATTCAATAAAACGCTTTAAGTAAGAAGATTTCGATATAAAAAAATCGCGTTGGCTTTTAAAGCATTGAATGAAATCAAGGTCTTGTTTGCTACCTATACTGTATCGAGAGATTATTTATAAAGATAGATTGTTCTTTCAGATTACTTCAATGGCATCAAAATACGATTGCTTCATTTCTATAGAAATAATTACATTGCATGGTCATTATCCTATCCAATTGTTGTGTCTCTCTTGCCTTTGCTTGTTACATCTTCACTTATTATAGTTTCTATTTTTTCTGAGTTTTTTCGCAAAGTTTTGTCCTTAAAGACTTCTTATTTGTTATTTAAATCAATAGAAGAACAGTTTTGGATAAAAATTTAATTCAAATTAAAGCTTTCCTTAGTTACTGATCATCTTTGATCGAATTTTGCTATCTTTTTCAAGCAATATTCGCTTCAAAGTTTGAGAAAATCACAGCTTGGAAAAAGTTATTAAGAAAATACTTTTTGAGGTGGATTAAAAATTCAAAATGGCGGTTATTTTCAAAAAAATTCAATTATTTGAAAAGTTCCTGAAACTGCGCTGCAACATTCTAAACAAACAAATTGCTTTTAATGCTCAGTTTTCCATAATAATTCCAAGACCTCTTTTCATGCTTTGATTGATTGTGATGGCATTTTCCTCCTTTTTTTTTGTTCAAAAAGCTTCTCTTCTGTAAAGCATGGAAATAATTATTTCCTTTTTAAGATTAAACGACATTGAGAACTTTTTCTTTACAAACAAAAACAAATCTTTTTGTGTAGATAAACGTCTATCTAACATTAATAATACAAAAAACATCTTCTATTTCTCCTTATCTTTATCATATTGTTGTATTATTTTTCTCTCATTAGATGTTAAATGAGCACTATTTGCATACAGAATAAAAAAATGCACAATTATATATTCAATGCACAGATCTTTTGTTGTACATCCGCAACTTATATTTAAAAAGAAGCTCATTATGAATAAAATTCTTGAACGAGAATATTTTTTTCAAAATTATAATTTTTCCCATTGCATAATGAACAACTTTTCCAAGAATGAAAAATTTTCAGTTTATTTCTACTTCTTCTACTTGCTGAGATTAATGAGATAAATCTTATTCTTTTTGGAGGCTACAACTTTTTAATCATGTCTGGTTGCTGGTTTTTTTTATATATAACAAGAAAACTTGGCGAAAATGAGATGAAAAACTTTGTTTTTAATATTTTAATTACAAAACTATGTGAAGGATTTTTTTTTATAATTTGTATTCTTATTGAGTTGTTCAACATCATCACATTGCATTCTTTACTATTATTTTAATGAAGATTGTTTCAAGAAATTCATAAGAAGCAAAAGTTTATTTTCAGAAATCATGATAAATCTTTTCTGTTTCTCGACTATTCATTAGTTAAATTAAATTTTTACCATGCACGAGTATCATAAGATGCGTAACTAAAACTCCAATTTTCTTCTTTTACTTAATTATGTCCATATATAGATCAAATTTAACTTTAAAGTGCTTTCTTTTATCTCTCATTTGCCATCAATATTGAGTGAACTTAACATATTCGGAGTGAATGAAGGAAATGGAGAAGAAATATCGTTTATGTAATATTCCTTAATTAACGATTAGATGATTTGAAGTGCGCCACATAAATCTAGAGGCTATAAATCTTTTGAAATAGCCGTAAAAAATTCCATCAATTACTCTCGGTGTTTTTTACATACAAGATGTTTATAAATCATTATTATTAAATATAAAAGTATAGAAATTATTGCAATTAAGGCTTGGTGACGCACTTTCTCTAGATGATGTGGAAAAATTTTAAGTTTTGCAATTAGGTTTGGGGTGTAGCCAGGAATTTGAAGAGTGAAGACAAAAAAAATTTATATGGAAGATTTTAAGGGGGGGGGGGGGGGGTGGGTGGTGGGTTCTTAAAGATTTTTTCATTAAAACCCTACCAAAATGAAGAAATTTCTGTTTTGTCACCCAAACCTCCCTCCTGGCTTTGCGTCTGAATTAGGTGAATTAATAGTTTTTTAAAGTTATAGCCTCCAAGGCTCCCACTCCTTCTATCTTCCTAAATCAAGGCACATCAATTGTATAATTTTTAAAACTTCATTTTGTGTATCTTGGTCTTCAAATCAGTCACAAACCAAGTCAAAATGAACCAGCCTCACACACTCTTACCAAAAATCAGCTAAATAAATTAAGAAATGAAGCCAAACATTTAAATACACTCAACATTTGTCAATTTTCGTACATTATAAATTTCAAAAAAGAGCAAAAAAAGGTTTCAAAAAACTCCACCATGAGACAGCAAATGTAGACAGTAAGTTGTAAGCCTTAAAGACAATATTAATCAACATTAATTAGAAAAGTTTCGCAAATAAAAAATTAAAAAAAGCATGTACAAAAGTCTTAAGCCGCGTGCCTAAAGACAAAATTCTTTCTCACTATGTTAATTACCCACAAAAATGCCCTACTTGTATTTATTCATTAATCATTCTTGTGTTTGCGACGAGGCAAATAATTTTTCTCTACATAAATTAAAAAAAAAATTTAATTGTGCTACACTCGCACTAGATGTTGTGTCTAGTCACAACAATGAAAATAATTTTCAGAAACATTAAAAAGCCGGTCTAATTGTTTAATTTTTATAAGCTCTATCATAATTAAAATTTTTTTTCTCTTCTCCGTACATGTACGACGATGATGATGATGCAATATTCATTTTGTACGTGAGAATTTTCATACTCGCATTTTGCGAAAAAAAAAAAAGATTTATTGTGTTTAAAATAGTTTTGCCATTTCGCTCCAAATATGTCAGAAAATATTTCCCTTTAAAGACAAAACAAAAATTTCTCATAAAACGTCTCTCCATATTTACCATAATGGCATTTGAAACAAACAAACAACATTTTTTTTAAGTCTCGAGTCTTGTTGCTAAAAAATCGATAACATGATAGTTGTTCAATGTACAATCTAATTTTCTTCCTCAAACATATGACATGCATGCTTGAAATTTGTTGTGAATTCCTTTAACTCAATATTGTTCATAACAATATTGCACATTGAACATGATGTGACATCAACCTTACTTATTTTTAAAAATAAT